TAGTTTCATACCGGAAGGGGGGGGGTCACTGACACAGACGAAGGAGCGCTTTGAAACCGTGGACCCTACAGTGGAACCCCGAAAAGTGGTTGTCTTTGTCGCTCATTCCTAGGAATACTAACAAAGGGCGAAAAGAAGTCGGCGCAGTTCGGTTTGGTGGGGGCACATGATACTGCCAGCCTGTGAAGATCTGTAAATGCTTGTACCAAAGTGCTCACTTGCAAGCTTTTCGCAGCGTCACGAGTCGTCTCGCCAAAGCTAGACTTGTTAGTTAATTAGCACTAATAAAAAGGAACCAGCGAAAAAGCAAATTGCTCCTCCTTAGCCGAACAGCGCCGTGGAATGTATTAAAGTCTGAAGAATGTAGTGTGATGAAGGGTGAGGTGGCGTCACTACAGATAATGGTGGGTTGGTAAGGGGGAGGGAGGGGAAGGAACGCATTCGTACACATGCTGGTCTTTGTCAGACATCTCTATCCCATCCACAGTATCCCACCGTAACATATTTTGATTACCGTAATCCAGTGGTTATTAAGATCAGTAAAGATTACCGGGGTCACACGGGCAAAAGTCATCAGAAGAGTAGCCGACCAATGAAATACAGGATTCGAGGACGCCTAGTGACCGCTACCATTGTTAATTGCTCTTAATTAGTCCTTAATAGGTGCACTATCGATTCTTCAATTGGCCAATCTACATACATACGTAGGGGGGTCTTGAATCAGGCAGATGAGGATTCGAAGTGTGGATTGCTCAATAAATTCTCTTCGGGATACGCCATGTTCCCTGCCTCGGAACAGAATCATGATGGTATTTGAATGTTTGTTTGGGGCATCCAAAGTGAATGCTCGCTAACTAGGTGGCTACCAGTCACGAAGGGATTATGGGGTGATATTGGGTTAGTCCGAAAAGCGGATTAATGGTTGGTAGTCTGGGGTTAAAAGAGTCGGCAAGGAGACCTTTGCTTGAAAAGAGGAACTCTTATACAGTTACGCAGCCTCTGTGTTTAGAAAGCGTTCTTACTGAGGGGGGGAGGGACGGGGTGAACAGTAAATAGCCAATGTGGAAGGGGCAATTTCTTGACTCTTGCTTACATTCCTACCAGTTTTTTTTCCGGAATTTTCCGAAATTTTCGGGAATTCCTACTTTTACCCCAGAAATTTTGCTGTCGAGCGGGGGGAGGGGTTTATGATACATATGAAATAGGAAAAATAACAATCACCGAAGCAGACTAACCATAACGTCCCCCACCAGCCAAAAAGTACGACCCCTATATGTGTTCCATACAACGATACTGTACCCTGCTTTGAGATCTTTCACCCATGAATGTCAGCTTCGCCGCTATTTCTGTGCTACATGACTGGTCATTTAGGTCGTCTCTATCTGTGTCCTAGTGGGAACGCAGAGTTTTTTCAAAGAGCCTAGAAGGCATTCGTAAAGCCCAATGTTCCGCAGGCGTGGCCCATCTGTGAGTGTATGCCTTACATGTCTCCTCACTCAGAGAATCCCAGTGGAAGGAAGAGTAGCTCGGCGCAGTTTATCGACGGGGGGAAGGGGGCATTTTGCTTCCGCATTAGATGTGGCGACCCGTCTGCTGGTAGCGTTTTCTCGAGCTGAACACGTTTCACGTGATGGTGGTTAGAGCATCGCCTGCTCCAGCTGTTTACAAGTTTTACCAAAGTGAAATTGCAAACCAGAATAAGGGAAGCAGTGATAGTACAAAATGCCCCCCCCCGTCGATAAACAGCGCCGAGTAGCTCTTTAGCGCGCAGTTCGACTTGGGGGCATTGAATTGTACTCAGCTAGGTTTTATAGGCCACTTTGTCAGAACCCGTGAAGTTCTGTGACCAGAATGGCTCACTTGTACCATTTGGCGGCTTTACAGGAGGGTGAACTAATAGAGGATCAGCGAATGTGCAAAATGCCTTCCCCAAGTCAAACAGCTCGCTTGGTAGCTGCTCTAACCTCTACACCTCATTGAAAGGACCTCCTCAAGACGAGTGATTGATCAGCTTTACAAAGGGTTTCCCATTGCGGTGAGATGTCCAGATCCTAATCTTAGGACCAGTATACTGACATGTCACCCCTCTTGAGAACATCCTTTCAATGATGTGCAACGGCTAAGGCAGTGCTGTTCGGCTTTGTGGGGGCTTATAGCAGTTTCGTCAGTTCCTTTTGTAGCTGATAGGGAGGTAGGAATAATGATTCTCTGGCGATCCTCGAAAGACCTCGCCGATCAATTGCGATGAAGTGGTAACCGGAAAGTGGATTTGCGCGGCGTTTTTTGGCGCATTTCCCGGATCAAGTCCTTTTCTGAAGGAGGGGGATTTCGGTGTTGAGATAAGAGCTTCCTCTTCTCCACGGCTTTCACACGTCGAACGTCTCGAATTTCATGGACGCACTCAAGCACCACGTTTGATTGTGAAGTGAACCTGCACTTATTATTATTTGATCAGGGACTTTTTTGGGTTGCTGTTGTGTGGCATCAGGTCAGAGGTGGGTTGAAGGGTCAGCCCATATGTGACGACGAGCGGGTCTAACGAGGTAGCTGGAAAACGAACCTGTAGATTAGCCAGGTTTCATGAACCGAAATTCCGAGCCCTGAATCGAATCAAAGCGACTATCCCCAAAGTAGTGGTTCCATTCCCTCGCTCTCCACTGGAACTGTGTAAGAAGTGTGTTGGTGCCTTTCGAATTGGTGAAGATCGTGCAAGTACATCGTTTCTTTGGTGGGAGTTGATACTAAGGCACTCGTATCTGGAAGAAACTATATCGCATTGGCGCTTCGTTTTCTTATCCCGTTTCTGGTAACTGGACTTGAGTTCAAACCACCGCTTCCGAGACCAGCTGAGGACTTTCGTCTGCAGGATCGAGTTTCTGTATGGGCATAGCAACGTGAATAATACTTTCAATCTTTCGCAGGCGTCGATAACTGACAACATCGTTTGGCCTTTGCAAGGCGATTGGTTAGCCAACCCTTCTCTAGGCTAGCCGCCTTCCGGGGACCTTGAATGAACCTTAAATTGGTAATAGATTCGTCCAGGAGGTTGAACTGACCTGTGCACAGGCTGATTTTTGCAACTCATTCCGTGGACCAAAGATCCACTAAGATGTCGCTATAATTCAGAGTGGATGCCAAGAGCATGGCGCAGTCCTCCCAAGAGCTGATCAATATCATACGGCAGGGCCTATTGTCTTTATTTATTCATAAATCAATGTTTTTCGGTAGCTATTAATTATTGTTACCCTCATAACTTTAAGTAGCCAAATAAAAAGGTTTGAAAACAAATGGCGATGCTGCTCATTTCAAAGTAATTCACATTCCTTACTGAAAATATTCGGCGCAGTTCGGCTTGGTAGGGGCATTGACTATTACTCAGCAAGGCTTGTAAAGATCACTTTGTGAAAACCTGTCAATTCCTCTGACCAAAGTAGCTCACCCGAATAACTTCGCTACTTTACAAGAGTTTAGAGTCTCCCCATGTGAAACCTGTCAATTCACATGGGTCAACAGAAGCATTTTGTGAAAGTACAAGATGCCCCTCCAAGCCGTATAGCGCCGAATTTTTTTATAGATTGACTGTCATAACTATTTGATCAGCCATTTAATTTATTTACTTAATTATAAACACAGTGGAATTTTGTGTCATTACAGTTATCCATTTATTTCCTCATAATCCATACCAATATTGCAAATCTAATGTTTAATTATCTATTTTTTCATGTATTCCCAACAAAATTTTGTTGTATTTTATTATTTATTTTTGTTTTTTTTTTATTTTATTTTCTAATTTATTGTGTACTAGTTGCTTTACAGTATGTACACGGCATTCTCCACCGGTGATCCTTGGCGATTCGATGGGAGATACGGTAGCATTACTGGGACAAGATGTCGATCTTACCTGTAAGGTGGACAACCTTGGACGGCATATGGTAGGTGTACTGTAATTTTTCGTTTTTCTCAATTTGTATTAATGTCTATTAAATTTAGGTGGCCTTTGTGAGGTCGAGTATACCACCACGATTGATCTCATTTGACGAAAAGGTGAGTTCTAGGAACTTTCTAACTAACTGATTTTTCTAATTCCACTGTTAGGGGGGGGGGGGGTAGTGGACGAGCTCTAGGCAGATAGAATTGGGGGTTGAGCGAACTTTAAGGGTGCCGATAGGATGGCGTAGATTTCGGCCCCTTCTATTAGGTCATCCCATTCAAACGTGCCGCCGGTTTTATTTGAATAAAACAAAGAGGAGAATAGATAGAAAAGTGATATTTTAGCTTCAGGATGAGTAAATCCCTCCTTCACCATGACCCGCTCCAGTGCCGAGGCTTCTGACTCTGGTACCTTCGATTTTTCAACAAGTGTGAGTAAATTGCTGTTGTTGCCAATTTCGGCAAATGACAAAACATTGTAGCGTCTGCCGTCGGAGAGTACTCTCAACTGAATAGAACAGTTGTAATCGCATGGCTTTATGACGGGCGAATGGGGCGATTGAACCCAGGTCTCAGTATTGTTTGTGTCCCAGCACTGCCTTACAGTACAGTTACTAGGGGTCTGGACTATGACGAGCAACGGTGGCCTTCTTGTAGTTGTGTGGTAGCATCCATTTGTCGATCTGAATGCCGAGGAACAGGCAATATGCACCGACAGTGACGGATTTGTCCTCTGTATAGAGCCGCTTGAAAGCCACAGTGTGGGAATCCTTTGCTATGATGATCATCCACTTGCGCCCACGTAACTCTTCATGGTAGAACTCGGGCGGCTTCTCATCTGCATTCATAGAAAATTGACGATTGTGAGTTTCGGCTCGAGGTCCGAGACCACCCATATTTCATCTAAGGCCTGGGTGCGTTTTCACAGTTGTGAGTGACATCTCATGCTGAGAACATTACTGCTAGAGGTATAGAATCGGTACTGCGTTCGTGCTTCTATAAGAAAATTGGGTACCATGCGCCACCCTCTCCCCCGCTTCTCGCACCATCCTCGTTTACGACGATAACTCGGCGCAGCAGGCAGCTGGAGATTCAACTCAGCGAAAAGCTCGACACGTCCTGCTCTGTATCAGAGGTTAGTCAGTGCCTGACTTCATCCCCGGCCGTTTTCTTGTGCAGGATGAATATTTGGGACATCCACTACAGCCGGACACGACAAATTTTTTCCTTTCTTCCTTGTACGGGCTCCTGAACCAGATCTTCCACCGTGTATTTCGAGAACACCCTTACACACAACTATGGTCCGGCGCAGGTCAAATTTGAGCAGCGCACTTTCCTTTTATGACGTCTGATTTGAAAAACCGGCGCCGATTTTCACCACTCGGGCTTCTCTTCAATTTCTCGAGGAACTTTCTCTTGGGCTAAGGCTCGCCAATTTTGTGTTTTTCGCCACATGATACAGAACAGCTTAAGGTACTAGCTTCCAAATGGTATAGTAGCCCGCTGCTCCATCCCCTTTGCTTTTCTGCCAGTCCTCTATATGTAGCGGCACGTTTGAATGGGATGACCTAATAAGCTAGGTAACAATTTATGTCTTTTTTCAGATATTTCGTCAAAAAGACAAGTACGAATTGAAGTCGAAAATGGGTCCGATGAACAATGAATGGGTGCTGACGATCAAAAACGTTCAGGTTGGTTTACCTTCCCCCTTTCTATTTTTTTTGATTTTTTTCCATGTGTGGCCCAAATTTGATTCGCAATAAGGTTAGCAGAATTGGAAAAAGTGGTTCGAAGGCAGAGTTCATGTTAGTCTGATCTGATCGGAAGGGGAATCCCTGCCAGCACCACTTTTCCGTAAAAGTTTTTTTGAAGGCTTTACAGCTTTTACTCTCACCGAATTACCAACCGACAGAAATATTCTACTTCCTTGTCTGCACATGGAAGTTTGGCTTTCCCTGCCTTTTCTAGCGATAATCCTGATGATCCTCCGGCTTTGTTTACGGCCATCCCCTTCTCGTACCGTTTCTTTCGTAGACTGGAATTCTCCGATTTTTCTGTGCTACTTCTTAGCCTGTGCTGTTCAGGAAGATGATCGTGGCAACTATTCCTGTCAAGTGAATGCAGATCCAGTACTGACCGCCACAGCACAGTTGGATATTAAAGGTGTGCTCTTATCTTCTTTCTTTTTTTTCTGAGAATCGAAAGCTTCTGGAAAACACTTGTTATATTTCAACTTCAGTAGTTGTTCTAATATTTTGAAAAGGAATGGCATTTTGCCAAAAACTGTGCTAAATTTCTTCTGGGAGACTTATTCTCACTTCTAATAGATTGCTGAGCGCAGGTTGGCTCAGTGGGAGCACCAAACGGTACTCATTCGAGTTTGAACAGCCCACCTTGTGAAGACATGTGAATTCCTGTTGCCAAAGTGGCTCACTTGTACCCCTTCGCGAGTTCACAGGTCTTAATTTGTGACATGAACTAGCAAAAGGGAAATGCAAAGTGCTCCCCCCCCAATACCGAACAGCGCCTCTTATTGTTTTATCCCACATCGGGTTTGACAACTTTTCGTCACCAACCTGGTGACCTTTCACAAGGGGTTCTTGTTGGAGAACTTATTCACTGATCCCAACACTTTTTGTTGATTCATTCCGAAGTCAGCAGTGGTGCAGTACAAGTAGGCGGTCTGGTAAGTTACTAGTAAAGAGATGGATGGCGTGTTATTGACGTCATAACATGTTAATGACGTGTTTTGAGACGTCATCAATGAAGGTTTCATTGATGCGTTAGATGACACGCCATCTCCAAACTCTCAAACAAGTAGCGGACCTTTGCCGCACCAAAGCCCCTAAAAGTTTTTTTGCATCAAAGACACCCAGTATTCAACCCGAGCTGCAGGACTTTGGCTCTAAATCAACAATAACCTGTTTTTATGGGGGGTTACTTAGCAGTTCTGTGAGAGTCACCCCGTCGATTTCCATTAGCATGCAAATCGTCTCCTCGGCAATAAATCAATGTTTATGAGGCGCGAAGTGAGAGGGAGATCGCTCCAGTTGTCCATTCGTAAGTGTCCGGGAATGGGGATCGTCTGGCGGAAGAATGCATCTTTGGTCGTTCTTTGGTGGACGAGCCATGCGTTCGAGTTGAAGAAGAAGAAAATCCAGCCAAGAAAATGAGATAGACTTATTTATGACCTTAACGACTCGCTAAACGAGCAAACTACGCTTCTAAATTGGGTGAAACCGGGAAGGTCAGTCAAAAGGTCCATTCCAGGCTGGGGGCCAGAAGATTGAAGTCAGCTGATAGTACTGGGAACCGAGTCAGGTCCGCTCCCCCTTCCCCCCCCTCTTGGCAGTGGAATCTTCCCATACGTCTATTTTTTAGATATTTTGAATCTATTCCTGACGACCGAGGCAGCTCGATTATAAGCCTCATATTACAC